TCATCGCCTAGCTCACAGAACCTCCAACTCCTGGGCTCAAGCGATCCTCTGCTCAGCCTCCGAGTGGCTGGGACTACAGGCATGCACCACCATGCCCGGCTAATTTTTTGTATATATTTTTAGTTGGCCAATTACTTTCTTTCTATTTTTAGTAGGAGACGGGTCTCACTGTTGCTCAGGCTGGTGTGTACCACAACACACAACACACACACCACACCCACACACCACACGAGCGCACGCAGCTCTTGTTCTGTAACACTGAGTATCTTGTACGTTTCCGAATAGACTTTATGTTCCATTAACTTTATTCCTTCCTCCTCCCCCTCCTCCCTCCCTGCCTGCCTTCCTTTCCTGCTTCCTTCCAGCTAAGAAAAGTATTCTCTTCAGTTTTTTCTTAGCTTAGTCTGCTGGGCCTTTGATACTCTAGACTGGGCTATAAGTCTCCCATTTTGCTCACAGAGGAGCCCTGGGCTATTCTAGTCCAAAGTGTATAAAATTCTGTTCTGCTGGCCTGCTCCTCTTTGAGGCAGAGCACCTTGCTATATGCTGCTGTACAGCAGGTGTTTAGAGAATGTTTCTATTGAGGTGATTCTTCTCATAAAACTTTATTTATTATTTATTGGGACAGAGTTCGCTTTGTACCCAGGCTAGGTGAGTGCCATGGCATCAGCTAGCTCACAGCAACTCAACTCCTGGGTCAAGCGATCCTCCTGCTCTAGCCTCCAAGTAGAGCTGGGCATACAGGCATGCGCCACCATGCCGCTATTTTTTCTATATATATTAGTTGGCCAATTAGTTTCTTTCTATTATATAGTAGAGAGGGTCCTATCCCTTGCTTAGGTCTGGTTTTGAGCTCCTGACCTCGAGCAATCCACCCGCCTCGGCCTCCCAGAGTGCTAGGATTACAGGCATGAGCCTCAGGCTGGTTTTGAACTCCTGACCTCGAGCATTCCACCCGCCTCGGCCTCCCAGAGTGCTAGGATTACAGGCATGAGCCACTGCGTCTGGCCCCAAAATATTTTTAATAGTAACAGTTTTGAACAGTCATGTTGGCCTTTGTTTCTCCCGCTCTTATGTAATGACTTGTGTGCAAAGGTACTTTGTGCTGTCTTGACCATGGAATTAGACCAGAGATCAAATCCCAGCCCTGCCCCTCAATTTCACCCCATGGCCGGTTTGCTTAACCCTTTAAGCTGTATCTATAAAATTAAGGTAATAATAATATTGCGAAAATTAAGATGAGGTTATTTCTGAAGTACTTAGCAAAGACATAGTAAGTACTCGGTAATGTTCATTGTATCATTAGGGCAGAAGAATGAAAACTGATTTCTAAGGAGCCAGAAGACCCTAAGTGATAAATGGGAATGGGGCATATGACTTTTGTTTTGTTTTGTTTTTTTAATATTTAGACCATAGTTAGTTTTCAAACTTGAGTGTATATACGAATTACCTGGGGTGCTTTGTTAAAAACTTAGCCTCATGCCCAGAGATTCTAATTCAGCGTCTGGGAAGACTGCCCGGGAAATCTGCATCTTAAATAAACATTCTAGGTGCTTCTAGCCTGTTGATACAACGCATTTTGAGAATCCCTTATTCTTTTTAAATGAAAGCATCGAATTCAGGTTTCCTAACCAGCAGGTAGACAATATGAGATGAAAAGTTAGTAAAAGAAACCCAAGTTGAAGTAGGAACAAATGATCTAAAGGCGGGAATAAAAAGTATTTTACCAAGAAGTACACCTTTCAGATGTTTAATGACTTGTTATTTTCTCGCTTTTAACTTAGGATGTCGAAGCAGGGACGAACCATCATCTTCTCCATTCATCAGCCTCGATATTCCATCTTCAAGTTGTTTGATACTCTCACCTTACTGGCCGCAGGAAGACTGATGTTCCATGGCCCTGCCCAGCAGGCCTTGGAGTACTTTGCATCAGCAGGTACGGTTGACTGTTCCATGCAGTAAGGCTTTTCACCAATGGAGTCCTGACAGAGAGCAGAGGGCGTTGTCACAAGTACTCTGCCATCTTTGGGTAGACATGCTGTGGGCCCCACCATTCCAAAACATCTGTGGTCTGTTTGGTGCTGGAATTTTGCTTCATTTTTTTTTTTTTTTTTTTTTGAGACAGAGTCTCGCTCTGTTGCCCTGGCTAGAGTGAGTGCCGTGGCATCAGCCTCGCTCACAGCAACCTCCAACTCCTGGGCTCAAGCCATCCTCTTGCCTCAGCCTCCCCAGTAGCTGGGACTACAGGCATGCGCCACCATGCCCGGCTAATTTTTTCTATATGTATTACTTGGCCAATTAATTTCTTCCTATTCATAGTAGAGATGGGGTCTCGCTCTTGCTCAGGCTGGTTTCGAACTCCTGACCTCGAGCAATCCGCCCGCCTCGGCCTCCCAGAGTGCTAGGATTACAGGCGTGAGCCACCGCGCCCAGATGGATTTTTTTTTTTAATGGCTCATGCAGTCTGCTTTATTTAAAAGATACTTGGAAATGATGAGAGATGATTTTCCATGACCTCATATATAACTTAAAATATTCATTAGCTATTTTTCTTAATTCATTTTTTTTAAAATCTCTTTGTCATTTAAAATAATCAGGCACATATGGGTTTGGGAGGAGTGTAGGGGAGATGAACCCAGGAGTCAGACTTCAGGCCGAGTTGAGTTCAGATTCTCACACCATTAGAAATGGAGGTAATAGTTCGAGTGTGCCGTGCTGGTCATGTTCTTTCGAGAATGCTACTCTGGGGACTTGTTCTCTTTTTGGAATTATGGCAGCGTGACAGTTAATTTGGACATCAGAAGTTAGTATGCAGAAAAGCAGTCATTACTGATGTTGGTAGTGCCAACCTGCCAATTCCCAGGGTGAATGCAGAGAGCACAATGCACCTGGACTTTTTTTTTTTTTGAGACAGAGTCTCACTCTCTTGCCCACACTAGAGTGCTGTGCCATCAGCCTAGCTCACAGCAACCTCAAACTCCTGGACTCAAGCGATCCTCCTGCCTCAGCCTCCCGAGTAGCTGGGACTACAGGCATGCGCCACCATGCCCGGCTAATTTTTTATATATATATCAGTTGGCCAATTAATTTCTTTCTATTTATAGTAGAGACGGGGTCTCGCTCTTGCTCAGGCTGGTTTTGAACTCCTGACCTTGAGCAATCCGCCCGCCTCGGCCTCCCAAGAGCTAGGATTACAGGCGTGAGCCACAGCGCCCGGCCTGCACCTGGACTTTTAATATTTTTTTCTTGTACCTGTATTTAGATTTTTGAAGAAGTGCTGCTAAGCACCAGAGCATTTTGGTAGCTGTTTCAGGTCTCATGAATTATGATAGGTAAGATTTCCTGAGAGTTCAATGTTTGAGGGTTTTTTTTTTTTTTTGGTCTGGGAAATCTAGAATTGTTGAAGTGTTGTGAATATACAAGAAGGAAGGGTAAATAAGTGTGGGGAGAAGGGAGAAAGGAAATGAGGGCAAAATTGTTAGATTCTGCCTCCTCTAGCCTCAGCTCACTCATCCTCTAAAAGTGAGTCCTCTTTATTTTCTAAGACCGTCATCCGATGTTTGCCCGGGCGCTGTCTTCTTTCCTTAGGTTACCAATGTGAGCCCTACAATAACCCTGCAGACTTCTTCCTGGATGTCATTAATGGAGATTCAACTGCGGTGACATTAAACAGGGAGGAAAACAACCATGAAGGTATGTGAATCTGTTAGCTTCAACCGATTTTTTTTACCTAATTAGATTGGCTAAAGTTTAGCCATGTGGTGGCTCACACATGGCTTAGCTAATGCAGTCGTCTCATGCCAGTCAACACAAAAGATTTTGTTGTCCATGAGTGCTGTGGGTGTTTTTTATTTAATTTATTAATGAGCATTTATAAACAGGGTCTCGCTCTGATGTTATCATAGCTCACTGCAACCCTAAACTCCTGGGCTCAAGGGAACCTCCTGCCTCAGCCTCCCGAGTAGCTGGGACTACAGGCATGTGTCACCATGCCTGGCTAATTTTTAAGTTCTTTTTGTAGAGATAGGGTCTGCCTGTGTTGCCCAGGCTGTTCTCAAACTCCTGGCCTCAAGCGATCCTCCTACCTCTGCCTCCCAAAGTGCTGGGATTATAACTGTGAGCCACCACACCCAGCCTGATATTGTTAATTCTAAGAGGAGTTTTCATTAAAGGAATACATAAAGGCTCATTGTTTATGTAGTGTATTTTTTTTTTTTTTATTGAGACAGAGTCTCACTCTGTTGCCTGGGCTGTAGTGCCGTGGCATCAGCCTAGCTCACAGCAACCTCAAACTCCTGGGCTCAAACGATCCTCCTGCCTCGGCCTCCCCAGTGGCTGGGACTATAGGCATGCCCCACCATGCCCAGCTAAGTTTTTCTATATATATTTTTTGTTGGCCAATTAATTTCTTTCTATTTTTAGTAGAGACGGGGGTCTCATTCTTGCTCAGGCTCGCCTCGAACTCCTGACCTTGAGCGATTCTCCTGCCTCGGCCTCCCAGAGTGGTAGAATTACAAGCGTGAGCCACCGGGCCCGGCCTATATAGTGTTTTTAAAATAAGAAATCTGTCACTTTGTGAACATAGTAGGAAATAAGGACCAGATTTTTATATTAAAAATTATAACCCCCTAGGATAAGAGCTCTACTTTAGAAGAATTAGGGTCTAAATGGTTAGGAAAACACCAGTGGGTTTGTTATATCCATACAATTATGGCAGTAGTGAGGCTAATTTGCTATATTTCTCTTTTGTGTAAAGCAATCTAAAGCCAGTCATTTTTTATACTTGAGCTTTAGAATTAAGGCGTTAGGGAGGAAACCAAGAAAGCGTTCATAGAAGAAAAAGCCAAGGAAGCTGTCGTCTTGCTCATCGTGTTTTCCGTCTTTATCCACTTTTATCCTAAAGCCACAGAGACTATAGAGCCTTCCAAGAGAGATACTCCAATCATAGAGAAATTAGCTGAGTTTTATGTCAACTCGTCCTTCTGTGGAGAAACAAAGGCTGAATTAGATCAGCTCGCAATGACTCAGAAAAAGAAGAAGAGCACAGTCTTCAAGGACATTACGTATGCCACCTCCTTCTGCCATCAGCTCAGATGGATTTCCAGGCGTTCGTTCAAAAACTTACTGGGTAACCCCCAGGCCTCCATAGCTCAGGTACCAGGGCAGCTTCTTTTGAAATATTTACATGGGGGAATTGTTTGCTTGTGATATTATCTATTTCAGCATTATGTTTACCTTCTACTACTCTTCTAGTTATTTGTTACCCATTTGGAACATGGAAACAGTCAATAGAACAAGTAAAACACAATTAAGTACCTTTTTTTTTCCTTTGGAGACAGGGTCTAGCTCTGTCACATGGGCTAGAGTGCCGTGGCATCATCATAGCTCACTGCAACCTCCAACTCCTGGGCTCAAGCGCTCCTCCTGCCTCAGCCTCCTGAGTAGCTGGGACTACAGGCGCACGCCACCCACACAGGGCTAATTTTTGTGTTTGTAGTAGAGACGGGATCTCACTCATTCTAAGGCTGGTCTTGAACTCCTGGCCTCAAGTGATCTTCCCGCCTTGGCATCCTGACGTACTAGGATTATAGGCACAAGCCACTGCACCCGGCTAGAAAGCTTCTTTTTTTCCAGTGGTTTCTTGAACTACCTAAGTCAGAGTTTTTGTTGATTTAGACAAGCTGTAATGAATAATCTTTTTTTTTTTTTTTTTTTTTTGAGACAGAGTCTCACTCTTTGCCTGGGCTAGAGTGCCGTGGCGTCAGCCTAGCTCACAGCAACCTCAAACTTCTGGGCTCAAGCGATCCTCCTGCCTCAGCCTCTCAAGTAGCTGGGACTACAGGCATGTGCCACCATGCCCAGCTAATTTTTTCTATATATTTGTAGTTGGCCAATTAATTTCCTTCTATTTATAGTAGAGACGGGGTCTTGCTCTTGCTCAGGCTGGTCTCGAACTCCTGACCTTGAGTGATCCTACCGCCTTGGCCTCCCAGAGTGCTAGGATTACAGGCGTGAGCCACCGCGCTCGGCCTGTAATGAATAATCTTAGTATAAAATATTTTTAATTTGAAAAATGTAAAGAAAGCATTAGCCATATTTGGGGTTTTCTGGTAACTGTCCACATCTATTCACTGATTGATTCAGCATTTTGGGGACATATATATAGTAACGAACAAAATGGGCAAAAATGAAAATCTCTGCTGTCATGGAGCTTATCATCTTATGAGGACAAACAATAATGAATACAGAAATTAACACATTGACTGCCACACTAGAAAAAAAGATTTTTTTTTCCCCTGGGGCCATGGCGTTTTATTAAAACAAAATGATCCTTTCTAATTTGTTATTTTTTTATTGTCTTCTGTGCATGAGTTATATGCATATGCAACGAAATCATGTTTTTAGAATTGAATTGTCAACTGTTAATTGGAATAACAAGAACATCAAGGAGTAAGATTTTCACAAACCAACTACAGGATTTTGCTTCATGAGACTGGGGGTCAAAACTAGCCTGAGTTAAATACAACTCACATGGCAGTCAATGTGTTAAACATACATTACGTTAGATGGTGGAAGGGACTTTGGAGAGAGTTGAAGCAGAGAAGGAGTAGAGAACGGAGTGGGCGGGAGAGGGAGGTAGAAGGAAGAGAGTAGGTTTACAGTTGAGATCAGGTGGCTGGGAAAACTTTCACCTAGTGGCCCCAAATACACCTGGAGATAGTATGGGCTGGCCACCATCAAGAGAAGAGCCGGTGAGCAACTTGTCATTGGTCTTCCTTATTTAGGGTCTCTAATCTTAGGAAAGCAGTAGACACCCCGAGAAGTTTGCACGTTATACGAAGGTAGCAAACAACCTCGAGTTCCATAAAACAAGGTCTGTCACTGTCAGATTAACAAGTTCTCTTGATTAAGATGAGATAGTGTTCTTTTCCTTTTGGTTGGCTCTGTGGTAGTTGTTATTATTCCTTGTGGTTTTTCTACTATTCTTAACCCCCTCTGTTGCACCAAATACTGTACTCCCAGTTCATTGGCCATCCTTTATAAGGAAATCAGTTTAGTTGGTTATTTTGGGGTTGTTTATTTTTATTACCAATATTGAGTTTCTGCTGAGTACCAGTGGCACACCGTTGGCTCTAATGGAATATTACTGAATTTTAATTTTAATTTGTGCACTGTAATTTTTATATTGAAGTAATAGTGACTTCTAAATGTATCTGAGAGGCTATATCACTACTTGAGCCATATTGGATCGCCCCAGATGTTTTTGGTATCATAATCTGGCTTTTCTGTAAGAACATGGGCACTTTTTTTTTTTTTGAGACAGAATCTCACTTTGTTGCCCGAGCTAGTGCTGTGGCATCAGCCTGGCTCACAGCAACCTCCAACTCCTGGGCTCAAGCGATCCTCCTGCCTCAGCCTCCCCAGTAGCTGGGACTACAGGCATGCGCCACCATGCCCGGCTAATTTTTTCTATGTGTTTTTTTAGTTGGCCAATTCATTTCTTTCTGTTTTTAGTAGAGACGGGGTCTCGCTCTTGCTCAGGCTGGTTTTGAATTCCTGAGCTTGAGCAATCCGCCCACCTCGGCCTCCCAGAGTGCCAGGATGACAGGCGTGAGCCACTGCGCCCGGCCGAACATGGCCACGTTTGTACATTATCAATTAAGGGTCAAGTTTTATTCCTTGAGAGTGGATTTAATGTCATTTGGAAACCAGAGTGGTGAGTTAGACCAACGTGGGTTACCTCTTGTCCAACAGTGAGATGATGTAATGAGTTGCTTCTTTTTTTTTATTATTTTTTATTTATTTATTTATTTTTAATTTTTTAGAACGTGTTCTATAATATTGGCAGAGTTGCTTTATTTTATTTTATTTATTTATTTATTTTGAGACAGAGTCTCGCTCTGTTGCCCAGGCTAGAGTGCCGTGGCGTCAGCCTCGCTCACAGAAACCTCCAACTCCTGGGCTCCAGTGATCCTCCTGCCTCAGCCTCCCCAGTAGCTGGGACTACAGGCATGCGCCACCATGCCCGACTAATTTTTTGTTTATATGTATATATATATATATATATATATATATATTAGTTAGCCAATTAATTTCTTTCTATTTATAGTAGAGATTCGGTCTCGCTCTTGCTCAGGCTGGTTTCGAACTCCTGACCTCAAGCAATCCTCCCGCCTCGGCCTCCCAGAGAGCTAGGATTACAGACGTGAACCACCACTTCCGGCCTGAGTTGCTTCTTTAGTGTGATCTAAGCATTCGATTTTTCTTCCTTGGAAAATAACTTGAATTTCTCTTGCTTCTAAAAGTGGTTTAGAAGCATCTTGTCCAAGTCTCCCATACAGTAGTTCTGCGCAGGGCGTGATTAGAACACAGAGCTATTTCCCGTGTACCAGGATCCTGCTCGTGTAGGTGCTAGGCTTTAGTTCAATGCCAGCACTATTCCTGGTCCCTCCAGGTTGTATGTTCAGCCTACCTGTGTCATCAGTGAACTTAGTTCCACAAAAGGAGTTGCAGCGAGGTTCACAGCAGTGACAGGCTCACAGAGCAAGGATAGGACCTTGTATCTCCCTGAGCATCTGCTTCCAGGGCAAGTTTTGTTCAGATTTGTAAATCCTGGAATGTTAGCTTAGGGCAGGAGGAGGCAAGCCATCTTTTTGTAAAAGACCAGATAATGAATATTTTAGGCTCTGCAGATTATATGGTCTTTGTCTCGCGGGTAGTCAACTCTGCCATTTTATCGTGAAAGCAGCCATAGCTCATACACAAACAAATGAACTTGGCAATGTTCCCATAAAACATTATTCATCGCACTGAAATGTCGATTTCATGTAAATTGTATATAGCAGGAAACATTCATCTTGGCTTTTTTTCAACCAATAAAAAATTTAAAAACCATTCTTAGATTGGCTCACAGATTGAAAGGCCTGAGGGCCCCATCTTACTGATCTTGGCTTAGGGTTTTTAATCTTGTATGTTGTTTCACTTCTAATTTTTTTTTCTTTTTGCATCAAAAGAGAATACATCTCTAAGTTTTTGAACATGGGGTTGTTAAAAAGTCTTATAGCTTTCTGCTGATAAATCTCTTGTATTTATTGTCCTAGAGCTGTACTTTGGTTTGACATTCTTTTTTTTCTCTTTTGAGACAGAGTCTCACTCTGTTGCCTGGGCTAGAGTGCCGTGGCGTCAGCCTGGCTCACAGCAACCTCCAACTCCTGGGCTCAAGTGATCCTCCTACCTCAGCCTCCCGAGTAGCTGGGACTACAGCTACATGTGTCACCATGCCCGGCTAATTTTTTCCATATATTTTTAGTTGGCCAATTAATTTCTTAGTATTTTTAGTAGAGACGGAGTCTCACTCTTGCGGAGGTGGTTTCGAACTCCTGAACTTGAGTGATCCTCCCGCCTCGGCCTCCCAGAGTGCTAAGATTATAGGCGTGAGCCACTGTGCCTGGCCTATTTCTTTTATATAATTCAACTTAGCCTCTGATAATGCATTTAACCGAAGGTTGTATTTAGATGATTTTGGAATGAATGGATTATGTGTATAAGATGATTTAATGTTCATTTAATGTGCCAAGCATTTCCTAATCAAATCAATTTGGAAGCACATAGGGCCCTGTCTGTTCCATTGTGCAAATGTTTAGTTTGTCTGTTTGTTTTCTTTTCCTTAACAGAAGAAAGAATAACACAGACACACCTTATAAAAGCATGTCAAGCTTAGGGCATTAATTGTTTTGTCAATATGTTTGAAAGCTGACTTTGAAAATGCTGTTACGTCTTTGAAACCTTTAGGAAACATCCTAATCATAATACTGAGAGTGTTAGTGTAAGATATCAAGTTTTGAATGCAAAAGCAACAAAGCATGTGGAGTGTCCATGTTGAAAAGTTTGAACAATACTGTGTGAAAATACAGATTCTTGTATACATGGTGTCATCGGCATTTTCTTTGGAAGCTTGATATGTTGAAGGAGAGTGTATGCCCAGGGGAATGAAAATATGCAAGGGTAATGGGAGTTTTCCCCAAATTTCTAACTGAATTTGTAAGTTAAGGACATCTCATAAGTGAAGCACTTTGGGTCTTTGCAAACACAGATCATGATCCCGTTTTTGCACTTTGGTTTGCTTCATGCCAAACATGTCCTTCATTAGTTACTTGAGGTCTTGATACCAGTGGACTGTTATAGTACTAATTTCTTTTCTTTTTTTCTTTTTTTAACAGACAAGGTCTCACTCTGTCCCCCAGGCTGCAGTCGCCCAATGACTGCCCATTACAACCTCAGACTCCTGGCCTCAAGCAATCCTCCTGCCTCAGCCTCCCAAGTAGCTGCGACTACAAGCATGCGCCACCACGCTAGGCTAATTTTTCTACTTTTTGCAGAGACAGGGTCTCACTATGTTGCCCAGGCTGGTCTTCAACCCCTGGGCTCAAGCGATGATCCTCCCACCTCAGCTTCCCAAAGTGCTAGAGTTACAGGCATGAGCCACCATGCCCAGTGAGATTTTTATTTTTGTTGTTAACTTTGAGGGTTTCAACATACATGGTAGGATATTTTGCTTTCTTTAGATTACCATGTCTTAGAGTTTTATATTTCACTCATGAATAATTATAAGTAAAGTGTCCTAAAATAAATTATGTCGTGATATGATGTAACCCTTAACCCTTTGCTTATTGAAATGTCTTTAAGAGACTTTTCATTCTACAAATGAGGGATGTTTGTCCCATCTCCTTAGGGGCCATACAAACAGACTGAATAGGCAGTGGCTCACACCTGTCATCCTAGCACTCTGGGAGGCCGAGGTGGGTGGATCGATCAAGGCCAGGAGTTGGAGACCAGCCTGAGCAAGAGCGAGACCCTGTCTCTACTATAAATAGAAACAAATTAATTGGCCAACTAATATATATAGAAAAAATTAGCCGGGCATGGTGGCCCATGCCTGTAGGCCCAGCTACTCGGGAGGCTGAGGCAGGAGGATTGCTTGAGGCCAGGAGTTGGAGGTTGCTGTGAGCGAGGCTGACGCCACGGCACTCACTGTAGCCTGGGCAACAGAGTCAGACTCTGTCTCAAAAAAAAAAAAAGCAGATTGCATAGGCGAAGGAGAAGCTTCGCAGCTTAGGTCTACAGTGATGGCGTGGGTGGCGTGGCTGAGGGTGATAAGAGGCTGTGACAGAGGCTGTGTCATGTCGGCACGCGGAGAGCACGCAGGGAAAGCTAGGGAATGCTTTGGTAACGGTGACAATGCACTTTCCAAGGCAGGCGTGGCCTCCCTGGAGGTTGGATCCCAGCTGGCCGGTCCCAGCTCACTCCTGCTTCCCTACCAAGCCAAATTCCATTGTTAGATTTTTTTTTCCTCTGTGTGCTTTTAAAATTTTATTTGTCTTTATTTATTTTGAATGTTAAGAGTAAAGGTATCCTGTTTGCACCTGAACCTCCTTGAATATAAAACGATGCATGTTCATGGGCACAAAGGTTGAGAGTTCAGTTCAGGTCAAAACTCTTCGCCACTTGGACTTTTGTTCCCAAAACGACGTTGCTCTGTCACACCTGGCCTTTGGAGGCCCAGGAGCCGGAAGCAGGCCCTGAACTGGCAGTGCCCGGTGGGGAACTGGGAGGAACCATAGCTTTTCCAGTAGTTGCTTTGCTGTCCTGCCAATTTCCCCAAAAACCACAGATGACTTAATTTTTAATGTTATAAAACATTCGAAATAATATACACTGTTGTATTCTCCCTGGGACGTTTGGCCAAGCCATTGTGTGTTCATCTCAATGGAGAGATCTGATTATGTAGCCCGATATATGATAATAATAAATGGTGTGTATCTTTTTTTTTTTTTAACCTCTAATTGAAACCCTTTCCTTTTTTATTTTCTTTTTCTCTGCTTGAAAAGATAATTGTCACAATCATCCTGGGACTGGTCATAGGTGCCATTTACTTTGGGCTAAAAAATGATACTTCTGGAATCCAGAATCGGTGAGTAAATTTGCGTCTTGATTTTGAGAAAATGCTGTCACTTTCTTCGAGCTTATAAAAATCCAGTAAGAATTGGAATTTAAGACAAGTACAGGGTAAAATGTCACTATTTTTTTTTTTAATGCATAACACTTCTTTATTGTAACAATATATAAAATAAATTTAACTTTCCCACTACCTGTGATTGATGTATTTTAGCTCACTCAGATTTAAAGGAATAGCTTGTGGAATTCTTGAAATTCACCAATCTTCAGAAGACATGGGATTAAAATGCATGTACATGTTTTTGTTAAGAGCACATAAATATTCGTTCTCCTTTCTTCATCTCGGCATTTTCATACACCTTCTCACTATTTTATTGAGGGGTTGGATGAATCAGTGACTTGAAAGCGTGATGGAAGAGTTAATTGGTTTACACAGACATATATATATGCATGTACGAAGTGGTAAAATATACAGAAAATAAAATTTTACCCTTTTAACCATTTTTTAAGTGAACAGTTCAGTGGCATTAAGTTCATTTACACTGTTGTGAAACCATCACCACTATCCAACTCCAGAACTTTTTTCATCTTATCAAATGGATTATCTTTACCCATTAAATTATACCCTCCCAGACCACCTCCCTCAATCCACCTCTTCCAACCCCTGGCGACCGCCATTCTACTTTGTGCCTCTGAATTTGACTACTCTGGGACCCTCATGTACGTGGAATCATGCAGTCTATGTCCTATGGTAACTGGCCTATTTCCCTTAGCATAATGTCTTCATGGTTCTTCCACGTCATAGCATGTGTCAGATTTTCTTTCCTTTGTAAGGTTGAATACTGTTCCATTGCATGTACATGCCACTTTTTGCATTTTGTTTTCCACACATCTGTTGATAGAAACTTGGATTGCTTCCACCTTTTGGCTGTTGTAAGTAATGTTCAAATACCTGTTTGAGTCTCTGCTTTGGATTATTTTGGTATATTATACCCAGAAGTAGAATTGCTGGGTCCTAAGTTAATTCTGTTAAATTTTTTGAGAAACCTCTGTTACTGTCTTCCACAGTGGCTATTCCATTTTGCATTCCCACCAACAGGGCCCAAGGGTTCCGGTTTCTCCATATCCTCACCAACACTTCTTTCCTTTCCCCCCCCCTTTTTAAAAATAATAGAGATCCTTTGAAAAATATCTGTTCAAGTCCTTTGCTGACTTTAAAATTGGATTGTTTGCGTTTTCGTTGAGTTGTAGGAATTCTTTATATTTTAGGGGGGATATCAATCCCTTATCAGATATATAATTTGCAAGTATTTCCCCCCATTCTGTGGGATGTCTTTTCACGTTCTCCTTTGATGCATAAATGATTTTGATTTTGATGTAGTCTGATTTATCTATTTCTTCTTCTGTAGCCTGTGAGCTGATTTTCCTTGATGTTTTTGATTTGTTTGACTTGGGGGTGGGGTGTGTGGGTGGGACCCAGTTTTCCCTATTATATGGCCAGCTTTTATGTTAGTATTGTGATCCTTAGCTAGTTTGAGTTATAATTGGCCATTAAACAATCTCATTTTATGATGAGATTCTTTAATGTCTGTGTCATGTTCTGAACATAGGTGCCTAGCTATGTCATAGACGTTCTTGTATTTTATGTATTGAAAACCACTCGGTGCCAGGCACTTTGCTCCTTGCTTGATACCCACGTTCTCAGGTTACCTCCCAGTGGCCAGAGGGGGAGGATGGTACTGTCCCCATTTTACCATTGAGAAAAATTGAAGAAGCTTATGTTCAATCAATGTCTGGAGAGGCTGATTATATTTGAAAGGATAAGCATAAAAATCGGTTCCTCTGTCAAATAAAATAAATGTTTTCTTCTGTATAGGATCGGATAGTGTTGCTGTACAATGAGATTATTGTTATCAAACAGCACTGTTCCAGAGTTATGTCACTGTTTATCTTTTTATCTTCCCCTGAGGGCTGAGATCTGGATTGTCCTCAAACTTGCTAGTAATTGAGGGTTTGTGTCCTGTAGTAGATACTATTTCTTAACCCAGCACAGAGTATCTTGCAGGGTCTAGAGACTGTAAACCTTTTACATTGTGCAGCAGGAAGTGTTTGGAAAAAATAGTGAGAAACCTGTCCTAACTGGACTTTTAAAGACCGGACATCTAGCCATTAAAGTTCTTGGTAGAAAAAATCCAGAGGCCGGGCGCGGTGGCTCATGCCTGTAATCCTAGCACTCTGGGAGGCCGAGGTGGGTGGATTGCTCGAGGTCAGGAGTTCAAAACCAGCTTGAGCGAGACCCGGTCTCTACTAAAAATAGAAAGAAATTAATTGACCATCTAAAATATATATATACAAAAAATTAGCCGGGCATGGTGGCGCATGCCTGTAGTCCCAGCTACTCGGGAGGCTGAGGCAGGAGGATCCTTGAGCCCAGGAGTTGAGGTTGCTGTGAGCTAGGCTGACGCCACGGCACTCACTCTAGCTGGGCATCAAAGTTGACTCTGTCTCAAAAAAAAAAAAAATCCAGAGAAGAGCTTTAGCTATTTCTTCAAATGTTTCTGGAGAAATAGGGCATTAATCTTTTTATTTGCATTTTTGCTACCATTTGTTTGCCTGCCATTTTTGGTAAGAATTTGGACTGCGTGAAAGTGCCTGAGTGTGTGTGGTTTATCTATCCTGCCTGGGGTGATTAGTGTGATTCTTTTCATTAGGAAAAAATGTTCTGCTCATCTTCGCAACCAGGTTCTCAAAGTTTTGTTCAGGGGTGAATATCAGCTACCTCAACGCGCTCGGATGTAATGAATTTTAGTATACATATTTTTTATTTGAAAAATGTATAAGAAGCATCAGCCATATTTGGGTTTTGGTAATGTCCACATCCATCTCATGATTGATTCACATTTCTGGGGACTATATATAGTAACGACAAAATGGGCAAAAATGAAAATTCTGCTGTCATGGAGCTTATCATATTATGAGCGAAACATAATGATACAGAAATTACACATTGCTGCACACTAGAAAAATTTTTTTTTCCCCTGGGCCTGGCGTTTTATTACAAATGATCCTTTCTAATTTGTTATTTGTTATTGTTTCTGTCATGAGGTTATATGCATTGCAAACGAAATCATGTTTTTGAATTGAATTGTCAATGTTTAATTGGAATAACAAAACATCAAGGAGTAGTTTCACAAACCACTACGGGATTTTGCTTCATGAGACTGGGGGTCAACTACCTGAGTTAAATACAATCACTGGCATCATGTGTTAAACATACATTACGTTCAGATGGTGCAGGCGACTTGGAGAGAGTCGAAGCAGAGAAGGAGTAAGAACGGATGGGCGGGAGAGGGAAGTAGACGGAGAGAGTAGGTTTTACCGGTGAGACAGTGGCTGGGAAAACTTTCACCTAGTGGCCCAATACACCTGGAGTAGTATGGGCTGGCACCATCAAGAGAAGAGCCGTGTGAGCAACTTGATCATTGGTCTTTCTTATTAGGGTCTCTAATTTAGAAAGCATAAGACAGCCGCCAAGAAAGTTTTGTACGTATACAAAGGTAGCAACACTCGGTTCCATAAAACAAGGTCTGTCACTGTCAGATTAACAAGTTCTCTGAATTAAGATAGATAGTGTCTTTTCCTTTGGTTGGCTCGTGGTAGTTATTATCCTTGTGGTTTTTCTACCTATTTTAACCGCCTCCTGTTGCACGCAAATACTGTACCCAGTTCATTGCCACCTTTATAAGGAATTAGTTTATAGTTGATTATTTTGGGGTTGTTTATTTATTTTTTTTATATTTTTTTTTTTTTGAACAGAGTCTCACTTTGTTGGCTCAGGCTACAGTGAGTAGCCGTGGCGTCACCTCGTCACACAACCTCAAACTCCTGGGCTCAACAATCTTCTGCCTGCCAGCCTCCCGACGAGCTGGGACTACAGGCATGGCCCACCATGCCGGCTAATTTTTTGTATTTATATTTAAGTTGTTATTTAATTTCTTTCTATTTTTCGGTAGAGATGGGGTCTCGCTCAGGCTGGTTTCGAACTCCTGACCTTGAGCATCCAACCGTCTCGGCCTCCAGAGTGCTAGATTACAGGCTGAGCACCGCGCCCGGCCTGGGGTTGTTTATTTATTTACGGCAATATGAGTTTCTACTGAGTAACAGTGGCACACCGGTGGCTCTAATGGAATATATGAATTAATTTTAAGTATTTTTTTTTTTTTTTTTTTTTTTTTTTTTTTTTTTTTTTTTTTTTTTTTTTTTGTGCACTGTAATTTATATTGACGTAATAGGTGACTTCTAAATTATCCTGAGAGGCTATATCACTACTTGACCATATTGGAAGCGCCCCAGAATGTTTTGGTATCATAATCGGCTTTTGCTGTAAGAACAGTGGCACTTTTTTTTTTGAGACAGAATTCTCACTTTGTTGCCCGAGCTACGGGTGCGCGTGGCACAGCCGCAGCTCACAGCAACCTCCGACTCCTGGGCTCAAGGCGATCTCCTGCTCAGCCTCCCCCAGTAGCTGGGACTACAGGCATGCGCACATGCCCGGCTATTTCTATGTGTTTTTTAGTTGCCAAATTCATTTTTCTGTTTTAGTAGAGACGGGGTCTCGCTCTTGCTCAGGCTGGTTTCGAATTCCTGACCTGGACAATCTCCGGCCTCGGCCTCCCAGAGTGCAGGATGAAGGCGTGAGCCACTGCGCCGCGGCGAAATGCCACGTTTGTAACATTATCAATTAAGGGTCAAGTTTATTCCTTGAGAGTGGATTAATGTCATTTGAAACAGAGTGGTGAGTTAGACAACGTGGTTCCCCTCTGTCAACAGTGAATGATGTAATGAGTTGGCTTCTTTTTTTTTTTATTATTTTATTTATTTATATTTTATTTTAGAACGTTTCTATAAATGGCAGAGTTGTTTTAGTTTGTATTTATTTATTTATTGAGCGAGTCTCGCTCTGTTTCCGCAGGCTAGAGTGAGTGCCGTGGCGTCAGCCTCGCTCACAGCCAACCTCCAACTCCTGGGGCTCCCAGCGTCTCTGCCTAGCCTCCCGAGTAGCTGGGATGACAGTCATGCGCCACCCGGATGCCCGACTAATTTGTTTTATCCATATATACCTATATGATATATAATATAATACTTAGTTAGGCCAATTAATTTTCTTTCTATTTATAGTCAGAGATTTCGGTCTCGGCTCTTGCTCAGGCTTGGTTCGACACCCCCTGACCTCAGCAACGTCCTCAGCGTCGGCTCCCAGAGAGCTGAGGATTACAGACGTGAGACCAACCACATTCCGGGCCTGAGTTGCTTCTTTTAGCGTGATCTACGCATTCGATTTTTCTTCGCTTGGAAAATAATTGAATTCTCTTGCGCTCTAAAAGTGGTTAAAGCTATTGTTGCAAGTCTCCCATACAGTAGTTTCCTGCGGCAGGGCGTGATTAGAAACCACAGAGCGTATTTCCGTGTACCAGGATCCTGCCTCGGTGTAGGTGCTAGGCTTTAGTTCATGCCAGCACTATTCCCGGTCCCTCCAGGTTGTATGATTCAGCACGGCTGTGTCATCAGTGAACTGTAGTTTTCCACAAAAAGAGTTGCAGCGAGGTTCACGAGCAGTGATCAGGCTCAAGAGCAAGGATAGGAACCTTGTATCTCCCTGAGCTCTGCTTCCAGGGCAAGTTTTGTTTCAGATTTTGTAAATCCTGGAATGTAGCTTAGGGCAGGAGGAGCAAGCCATCTTTTTGTAAAAGACCCAGATAATGAATATTTTAGGCTTTGCAGCATTATACTGGTCTTTGTCTCGCGGGTAGTCAACCTGGCCATTTTATCGTGAAGCAGCCATGAGCTCATACACAAAAATGAACTTGGCCAATGTTCCCATAACATTATCCCGGCACTGAATGTCGATTATGATAAATTAGTATATGCAGGAAACATTCATGACTTGCTTTTTTTCCAACGGCAATAAAAAATGTAAAAAGCGCAATTCTTAGATTGGCTCACAGATTGAAAGGCCTGAGGGCGCACATCTTACTCCGATCGTTTTTTTTTTTTTTTTTTTGCTTAGGGTTTTTAATCTTGTAGTTGTTCTCACTTCTTATTTTTTTCTTTTTGGCATCAAAAGAGAATAACTCTCTAAGTTTGACATGGGGGTTGTAAAAAGCTTATAGCTTCTGCTGATAAATTCTTGTATATCTGTCCTAGTCGAGCTGTACTTTGGTTTGACATTTTTTTTCGCTTTTGAGACAGAGTGCTCACCTGTTCCTGGCTACGATTGCCGGGCCATCAAGCCTAGCTTCCAGCAACTCAACCCTGGGCTCAAGCGACGTCTCCTGCCTCAGCGCTCCACGCCGAGCACTGGGACTACAGCTACATGTGTCACATGCCCCGGCGCTAATTTTTCCATATATTTTTAGTTGGCCAATTAATTTCTAGTATTTTTAGTAGAGACGGAGTCTCACTCTTTGCGGAGGTGGTTTCGAACTCCTGAAGTGAGTGATCTCCCGCGCCTCGGCCGTCCCGCAAGTGGCTAAGATTACAGGCGTCGACCACTGTGGCCTGGCCTATTTTCTTTGATATAATTCACTTAGCCTCTGACTAATGCATTTACAAGGTTGTATTTAGGATGATTTTGGATGAATGGATTGCATGTGTATAAGATGAGTTTAATGTTCAATATTATGTGCCAAGCCATTTCCGTATCAACATCAATTTGGAGCACATAGGGCTGTCTGTTCCATTGTGCAAATGTTTAGTTTCTGTTGTGTTTTTCTTTCTTAAAGAAGAAAGAATAACACAGACACACTTTATAGACAGCATCGTCAAGCTTAGGCATTAATTGTTTTGTCAATATGTTTGAAAGGTGACTTTGAAAATGCTGTTAACGTCTTTGAAACCTTTTAGGAAAACACTCTAGATCATACAATACTCGAGAGTGTAGTGTAAGTATCCAAGTTTTGAATGCAAAGCACAAAGCATGTGGAGTGTCATGTTAAAAGTTTGAACAATAACTGGTGTGAAAATACAGATTCTTGTATACATGGGTCATCGGCATTTTTCCTTTGGAAGCTTGGTTTATGTTTGAAGGAGAGTGTATCCCAGTGGAATTGAAATATGCAAGGGTAATGGGAGTTTTCCCAAATTCTAACGAATTTGTTAAGTTAACAGGACATCTCATAAGTGAAGCACTTGGGTCTTTTCAAACACAGACATGATCGCCGTTTTTGCACTTTGGTTTCTTCAGGCCAAAGCATGTCCTTCATGTAGTTTAACTGAGTCTTGATACCAGTGGACCTGTTATAGTACTGATTGTCTGTTTCTTTTTTCTTTTTAAAAAAACCAGAACCAAAAGTTCCTCCACCCCTTGTTTCCCCCAAGGCTGCAGTCGGCCCAATGATGCCCATTACAACCTCAGACTCCTGGCCTAGCAATCCTCCTGCCTCCAGCGCTCGCAAGTAGCTGCGAATTACAAGAATGCGCCACCACGCTAGGGTAATTTTTCTACTTTTTGGCAGAGACAGGTCTCACTATTTGCCAGGCTGGTTCCTTCAACCCTGGGCTCAAGCGATGATCCTCGCACTGCCAGTTCCCAACATGCTAGCGTTAAGGCATGAGCCACCATGCCAGTGAGATTTTTATTTTTGTTGTTAACTTTGGGAGGTTTCAACATACATGGGTAGGATTTTGGCTTTCTTTAGAATTACGTGTCTTAGAGTTTTTATATTTCACTCATAATAATTATAAGTAAAGTGTCTAAAATAATTATGTCGTGATATGATGTAACCCTTAACCCTTTGCTTATTGAAGAATTCTTTAAGAACTTTTATTCTACAATGAGGGTGTTTCCATCTCCTTAGTGGGCATACACAAAGCTGCAATAGCCAGTGGCTCACACCTGTCATCCTAGCTCTGGGAGGGGCCGAGGGTGGTGTGGATCGATCAAGGCCAGGATTCGGCCAGTCTCTTGAGCAAGAGCGAGCCCTGTCTTCTACTAAATATGAATCAAATTATTGGCACTATATTATAGATGAGAAATAATTCCACGTGCTATGGGTGGCCTATGCTGTATGGCCAGTCTATCGGTGATGGTTGAGGTCAGGAGGATCACTTGCAGGCCAGGAATTTGGAGTTGCTGTGTGAGCGAGGCTGACGCCACGGCACTCACTCTAGCCTGGGCAACAGGAGTCAGATCTGTCTCAAAAAAAAAAAAAGCAGATTGCATAGGCGAAGGAGAAGCTTCGCAGCTTAGGTCTACAGTGATGGCGTGGGTGGCGAGGGCTGAGGTGATAAGAGGCTGTGGACAGAGGCTGTGTCATGTCGGCACGCGGAGAGCACGCAGGGAAAGCTAGGGAATGCTTTGTAACGGTGACAATGCACTTTCCAAGGCAGGCGTGGCCTCCCTGGAGGTTGGATCCCAGCTGGCCGGTCCCAGCTCACTCCTACTTCCCTACCAAGCCAAATTCCATTGTTAGATTTTTTTTTTTTCCTCTGTGTGCTTTTAAAATTTTATTTGTCTTTATTTATTTGAATGTTAAGAGTAAAGGTATCCTGTTTGCACCTGAACCTCCTTGAATATAAAACGATGCATGTTCATGGGCACAAAGGTTGAGAGTTCAGTTCAGGTCAAACTCTTCGCCACTTGGACTTTTGTTCCAAAACGACGTTCTCTGTCACACCTGGCCTTTGGGGCCCAGGAGCCGGAAGCAGCCCTGAACTGGCAGTGCCGGGGGGGAACTGGGAGGAACCATAGCTGTTTCAGTATTCGCTTTGCTGTCCTGCCATTTCCCCCAAAAAACAGATGACTTAATTTTTAACGTTATAAAACATTCGAATAATATACACTGTTGTATTCTCCCTGGGACGTTTGGCCAAGCCATTGTGTGTTCATCTCAATGGAGAGATCTGATTATGTAGCCCGATATATGATAATAATAAATGGTGTGTATCTTTTTTTTTTTTACCTCTAATTGAAACTCTTTCCTTTTTTATTTTCTTTTTCTCTGCTTGAAAAGATAATTGTCACAATCATCCTGGGACTGGTCATAGGTGCATCATTTACTTTGGGCTAAAAAATGATACTTCTGGAATCCAGAATCGGTGAAAATTTGCGTCTTGATTTTGAGAAAATGCTGTCACTTTCTTCGAGCTTATAAAAATCCAGTAAGATTGGAATTTAAGACAAGTACAGGGTAAAAATGTCACTATTTTTTTTTAAATGCATAACACTTCTTTATTGTAACAATATATAAAATAAATTTAACTTTCCCACTACCTGTGATTGATGTATTTAGCTCACTCAGATTGAAAGGAACTAGCTTGTGAATTCTTGAAATTCACCAATCTTCAGAAGACATGGGATTAAAATGCATGTACATGTTTTGTTAAGAGCAGTAGAGTGCCATGGCGTCAGCCTCGCTCACAGCAACCTCCAACTCTGGGCTCAAGCGATCCTCCTGCCTCAGCCTCCTGAGTAGCTGGACTACAGGCATGCGCCACCATGCTGCTAATTTTTTTCTATATATTTTAGTTGCCAATTCATTTCTTCATTTTTAGTAGAGACGGGTCCGCTCTTGCTCAGGCTGGTCTCGAACTCCTGACCTTGAGCGATCCTCCTGCCTCGGTCTCCCAGAGTGCTAGGATTACAGGCGTGAGCCACCGCGCCCAACCTCCCTCGGTTTTAACCAGAACAGTTTCACTTGTTTTTTTTCCTGTTTAACTTTACACAATATCATTTGTAGAAATTGTGTGAGTCGAAAATCACTCTAAGAATGTGGAATTGACTCCGATACTCTTCTTCCCTTTCTCTCACGGCAGAGCCGGGGTTCTCTTCTTCCTGACGACCAACCAGTGTTTCAGCAGCGTGTCGGCCGTGAGCCTCTTCCGTGGTCGGAGAAAGTCTTTATGTGAGTAGGTCCCTGTCAGCCTCAGGGCTGCTGGTCACGTCCGGCATTGGGCCAAGGATGGGATCATGGGAATGGCCGGTGTTTATTTTTTTTTTTTTTTTTTTTTTTTTTTTTTTGAGACAGAGTCTCACTTTGTGCCCAGGCTAGAGTGAGTGCCTGGCGTCTGCTGCTTCACAGCACCTCAGACTCCTGCTCAGTGATCCTTCTGCCTCAGCCTCCCGAGTAGCTGGACTACAGGCATGCGCCACCGTGCCGGCTAATTTTTTATTATATATATCAGTTGGCCATTAATTTCTTTCTATTTATAGTAGAGACGGGTCCTCGCTCTTGCTCAGGCTGGTTTTGAACTCCTGACCTGAGCAATCCGCCCGCTCGGCCTCCCCAGAGCTAGGATTACAGGCGTGAGCCACAGCGCCCGGCCCCGTGTTATTTTATTAATTTTTTTCAATTGACGCGTAAATTGTGCCTGTTTACTGTGTACAACATGAGTTTGAAAACACCACAGGGGCCTACAAATATGAAGCCTTATAAAAGCGCAGGAGGGGTGGAAGAAAATCATCGAGTGCGTGGAGGCCCCAATATGAGGGAACAGTTTCTAGATTAGGTGGTTCAGAAATCCACAATGCGTGTAAAGCCAGCTATAACAGGGCCTGAAAAGTACATTTTTGTTTTTTTCTTTAGTAAATGCTGGTGACCTTCATAAGAGCAGTTTTAGGGCCTCCGCAGGGGTGAAGTGTGGGCTAAGCAGCGACTTAGAGGTAGGGAGATAATGTGGACAGAGAAGGTGACCAAGTTCAGCCCTTGTCAGACCCGGAATGGAAAGAGCCAGAAGGCAGCCTTACTGTAAGGAGCAGGATGCTTATTTTTTATTTATATATATATTGTTAGGTAGAGTCTCACTCTGTTGCCCGAGCTAGAATGCTGTGGCGTCAGCCTCACTCACAGCAACTTCACACTCCTGAGCTCAAGTGATCCTCCTGCCTTGGCCTCCTGAGTAGCTGGGACTACAGGCATGGACCACCATGCCCGGCTAATTTTTTCTGTTTTTTTTTTTTTTTTAGCTATCCAGCTAATTTCTTTCCATTTTTTTTAGTAGAGATGGGATCTCACTCTTGCTCAGGCTGGTTTCGAACTCCTGACCTTGAGTGATCCTCCCGCCTCGGCCTCCCAGAGCGCTAGGATGACAGGCATGAGCAACCGCATCCTGCCCCAGGCTGCTTTTGATTACTATGTTTTTCAAAGATGGACAAGATTTGTTCATATCTGCAAGCCCAGGAAAGAAATCATTACAAAGGGAAAGAATGAAGGAGGTGGAAGAGTCTAGAATGGTGGGGAAATGATGTCAGGAAGAGGAAAGATTTGGATTTGATATTTGACAGAGATGTATGGTTGGAAGGGCTTGGTCTGTGAAGGAAAAAGCCTTTTTTTTTTCGTTTTTAACTTGAGAGTAGAAGTAAAATGAGTTTAGTGATCTGAGGCTGCAGTCTGGGGCTTGGAGAATATCAATACCACTTTCTTTCTTTCTTTCTTATTTTTATTTTTTTTTGAGACAGAGTCTCCCATTATTGCTCGGGCTAGAGTGCCGTGACGTCAGCCTCGCTCACAGCAACCTCAAACTCCTGGGGTCAGCGATCCTCCTGCCTCAGCCTCCCGAGTAGCTGGACCACAGGCATGTGGCACCTGCCCGGCACTTTTTCTATATATATTTTTCAGTTGGCAATAATTCTGTTTATAGTAGAGATGGGGTCTCCCTCTTGCTCAGGCTGGTTTCGAACTCCTGACCTTGAGCGATCCTCCCGCCTCAGCCTTCCAGAGTGCTAGGATTAAACGTCACTTTCTTCATAATCAGGTACAGGGGAAAAGGAAAGCCCCTTTGACTACTGAGATGAGTCACCAAAGTGCTGTTCTTCAAAGCCGGCCAGTGTCCGCAGAAGGGAAAGGAGCATTCTCTGCAGAGAGGCAGGATGTGCAGGGTCTGTTGGCCTGGAGTGGGTGTTTGGGGACCAGAATGAGTGACCTTAAGAGGGAGTCCTGTGGCCAGGCGAGGTGCCTCACGCCTGTAATCCTAGCACTCTGGGAGGCCGAGGCGGGCGGATCGCTCGAGGTCAGGAGTTCAAGACCAGTCTGAGCAAGAGCGAGATCCCATCTCTACTATAAATAGAAAGAAATTAATTGACCAACTAATTAATTGGCCAACTAATTAATTGGCCAACTAATATATATGGAAAAAATTACCGGCATGGGTGGCACATGCCTGGAGTCCAGCTACTTGGGAGGAGGCTGAGGCCAGGAGGATCGCTTGCAGCCCAGGAGTTTGAGGTTGCTGTGAGCGAGGCTGATGCCACGGCACTCACTCTAGCCTGGGCAACAAAGCGAGACTCTGTCTAAACAAAAAAAAAAAAAAAAAAGAGGGAGTTCTGTAGTGAGAAGAAGGGTCACAGCACAGAACTTCGTGGGGCTGATGTCCCAGAGAGTCTGGGACCTTAAATGGTGATGGCTTTGGGGCAGCTGTTGTATTAGACCCCTGGGGGCAGCAGAAGTCTATATACAGTAAGCAGTCTAACCTTCTAGTCTGTGCCTTCATGAACTAATCTGAGATGTATAATACCTATTTTTGATCTATAGACATGAATATATCAGTGGATACTACCGCGTGTCATCTTACTTCTTCGGAAAACTGTTATCTGATTTACTACCCATGAGGATGTTGCCAAGTATTATATTTACCTCCATAACATACTTCATGTTAGGTAAGTAACAAGACAAAACGCATGTGTCTTTAGTCTTGCCTCTGCACTGAAACAAATTTCTCCTTGCAAGCATGTTTTTGGTTCTAAAAACTATAAACCAAAGGCTGGACACACACCTGTAATCCTAGCACTTATTTATTTATTTATTTTTTTGAGACAGAGTCTCACTCTGTTGCCCAGGCTAGAGTGAGTGCGGTGGCATCAGCCTCGCTCACAAGCAACCTCAGACTCCCTAGTAGCTGGGACTACAGGCATGTGCCACCATGCCGGCTAATTTTTTCTATATATATTAGTTAGCCAATTAGTTTCTTTCTATTTTTTTTTTAGTAGAGATGGGGTCTCGCTCTTGCTCAGGCTGGTTTCGAACTCCTGGCCTCGAGCGATCCTCCCTCCTTGGCCTCCCAGAGTGCTAGGACTACAGGCATGAGCCACTGCACCCGGCCCCTAGTACTTTTGAGAGGCTGAGGTGGGAGGATCGCTTGAGTCTGGAAGTTTGAGACCAGCCCGAGCAACATAGTGAGACCCCATCTCTACGAGAAATAGAAAAATGAGCCAGCCGGGCAATAGTGGCCTGTATTTCCACCTACTCGGGAGACTGAGGCAGAATGATCTCTTGAGCCCAGGAGTTTGAGGTTGCAGTGAACTATGGTGACGCCACTGCACTCTAGCCTGGGCAACAGAGTGAGACCCTGTCTAAAAAAAAAAAAACAAACCCAAACAAACTACAAACCAAGCCATGAGATAAGAAATCACCCATCCATGGTGCATTCTCTGAAATAGCTGTTCAATGTGGACTTTTTTTGTCAAGTTTTTTTTCCACCTGAACATTTAAAACTATTTATAAAACTATGTTTTACTGGGAGATGCTGTGTTTTATAAATAGTTTTATTTTATTTATTTATTTTTTTGCTCGTTTCAGTTTGAGGGATATAAATAGTTTTAAAACTATTTATAAAACTGTGTTTGTCATACACAGACATGAAAAGACTTTATAAAACTCTGGGACTATGCCAGAGGAGGTGGGGTATTTTATTGCCTGTCTATATTTTAATTTATCTCTGTCTCTCTGATATTTAGAGGTATATAGACAGACAAAAATATATATATGTATTCCCTACTCCCCATCCTCTAATGAGAGAAAAGATGGTCACTTTGGGGGCTTATTGATTTAATAAAAATACGCATTTGGTAGCTGTAGAGATCCATTTGTGCATTATGCTCAGCTTTTCACGTGCTACCTCCCCCGCTTGAAATAATCTATTTTTGACAAGGCACTGCAGAACAAGAACCTCTGACTGAATCTATTAGACCTTCCATTTTACAAATAACAGGTGTGTAAACAATCAGGCACAGGATCCTAGGTCCTTCTGATTGGGGTTCTTATGGCTAATTCCAGATTGTACGACCCACAGGATTAGATCATGATGGTTTAGAAAGGAGCTTTATGAAACTTAATTTAGGCTTTGTTCTCAATACGGAGTGTTGCATACTGGTCCAGGGGCCCCCATTGTGGAGACGTAAGAGATTGAGAGAACTGCTCGAGGTGGTGCTCTCTCAGTTTTTTTTGAGACAGACTCTGACTCTGTTCCAAGCTAGAGTGCCATGGCGTCAGCTCGCTCACAGACTCCAATCCTGGGCTAAGCGATCCTCCTGCTCAGCTCCTGAGTACTGGGACTACAGGCATGCGCACCATGCCTGGTAATTTTTTTTTCTATATATTTTTAGTTGGCCAATTCATTTCTTCTATTTTTATAGGACGGTCTCGGTCTTGCTCAGGCTGGTCTCGAACTCCTGGACCTTGAGCGTCCTCTGCCTTCGGTCTCCAGAGTGCTTGACTTACAAGCGTGAGCACGGCCCAACCTCCTCGGTTTTAACCAGAACAGTTCCACTTGTTTTTTTTCCTGTTTAACTTTACACAATATTATTTGTAGGAATTGTGTGAGTCGAAAATCACTCTAAGAATGTGGAATTGACTCCGATACTCTTCTTCCCTTTCTCTCCCGGCAGAGCCGGGGTTCTCTTCTTCCTGACGACCAACCAGTGTTTCAGCAGCGTGTCGGCCGTGGAGCTCTTCGTGGTCGAGAAGAAGCTCTTTATGTGAGTAGGTCCCTGTCAGCCTCAGGGGCTGCTGGTCACGTCCGGCATTGGGCCAAGGATGGGATCATGGGAATGGCCGGTGTTTATTTTTTTTTTTTTTTTTTTTTTTTTTGAGACAGAGTCTCACTTTGTTGCCCAGCTTAGAGTGACGTGCCGTGCGTCAGCCTAAGCTCCGCAACTCAGACTCCGGCTCAAGTGATCTTCTGCCTCAGGCCTCCGAGGTAGCTGGACTCAGGCATGCGCCACCGGTTGCCGGCTATTCTTTTATATATATATCAGTTGGGCCAATATGATTTCTTTTATTATAGTAGAGAGGGGTCTCGCGTCTTGCTCAGGGCTGGTTTTGAACTCTGACCTTGGAGCAATCGCCCGATCTCGGCCTCCAAGAGCTAGGATTACAGGCGGAGACAGCGCCGGCCGGTGTTTTTTTATAATTTTTTTCATTAGCTAAATTTGCCTGTTTACTTTGATAAATGATTGTTTGAAAACAACAGGGCTCAAATACTTAAATAAGGAGCCATGGATGTGGAGAAAATCATAGGCGGTTGGAGCCCATATGAGGGAAACAGTTTCTACATTAGGTGTGGTCAGAAAATCCAAATGCTGTGGTAAAAGCCAGCTATAACAGGCTGAAATACGATTTTTGTTTTTCTTTAGTAAATGCTGGGTGACCTTCATATGAACCAGTTTTTAGGGGCCTCGGCAAGGTGGTGATGTTGGGCTAAGCGTATTAGAGGTAGGGAGTAATGTGGACGAGAAGGTGGCAGTTCAGCTTGTCAGACGGATTGGAAGAGGCAGAGGCAGCCTACTTAAGGAGCAGGATGCTTATTTTTTATTTTATTATATATGATTTAGTAGGAGTCTCCTCTGTTTGCCCGAGCTATAATTGCTGTTGGCGTCAGCCGTCACTCACGCATACATCCTAGCTCAGTGATCCTCTGCGCTGCTCTGGAGTGCTGGGTCAGGCATGGCCACCATGCCGGATTTTTTCTGTATTTTTTTTTTTTTTTTAAGCGTCCAGTATTTTTTCCTTTTTTTAGTGGATGGATCTTACTCTTGCTCAGGCTGGTTGAACTCTGGACCTTGGAGTGGATCCTCCGCTCGGAGCCTCAGAGCGCTAGGATGACGGCAGAGCCACGGCGACCATGCCCCAGGCTGCTTTTGATTACTATGTTTTTTCAAAGATGGCAAGTTTGTTCATTCTGCAAGCCAGGAAAGAACTCATTACAAAGGTAAGAATGAGGAGTGGAGAAGTCTAGAGGTGGGAAATTATTTCAGAGAGGGAAAGATTTGGATTTGATATTTGAAGAGATGATATGGTTGGAAGGGTTGGTCGTGAAGGAAAGCTTTTTTTTTTCCATTTTTACTTGAGAGTGAAGTAAATGGTTTAGGTGATCTGAGCGTGCGTTCTGGGCTGAGTGAATTCAATCACTTCTTTCTTTTTTTATTATTTATTTTTGAGCAAGTCTCCCATTAATGCTCGGGTAAGTACGTGCGTCGCCGTCAGGCCTTCCGCACTCAACTCTGGGCTACGAGCATCCTGCCAGCCTCCGAGTGCCTTGGACCACAGGCTGCTGGCACCTGCGGCTCAGTTTTTCTATAATATATTTTTTCAGGTTGCCAATTAATTTTCTGTTGTCATAGTAGAGATGGGTCTCCTCTTGTAGGTGGTGTCGACTCCTGACCGTGACGTCTCACGCCTCAGCTTCCAGAGTGCTAGATTAAACGTCATTTTTCATAATCAGGTGCGGGGAAAGGAAGCTTTGACTCTGAGATGAGTCACAAGTGCTTTCTTCAAGCGGCCAGTTCCGCGAAGGGAAAGGAGCATTCTCTGCAGAGAGGAGCAGATGTGCAGGGTCTGTTGGCCTGGGTGCGGTGTTTGGCGCACAGAATGAGGACTTAAGAGGGGAGTTCTGTGGCCAGGTGAGTCTCACGCTGTAATCCTAGCACTCTGGGGGCCGATGGCGGCGATCGCTCGGAGGTCAGGATCAAGACCAGGTCTGAGCAAGGCGATCATATTACTATAATAGAAAGAAATTGACAAACTATTAATTGGCCAATCTTAATTGGCACTAATATATGATGGAAAATTAGACCGGCATGGTAGGCACATGCCTGGGAGTCCCAGATACTTGGGGAGGAGGCTGGGCAGGAGGATCGCTTGAGCCAGGAGTTTTGGGTTGTTGAGCCGAGGTGATGCACGGTCATCACTCCTAGCCTGGGCAACAAAGCGAGACTCTGTCTAAAAAAGAAACCTACTCGGGAGGCTGAGGCAGGAGGATCCCTTGAGCCCAGGAGTCTGAGGTTGCTGTGAGCGAGGCTGACGCCACGGCACTCACTCTAGCCTGGGCATCAAAGTGAGACTCTGTCTCAAAAAAAAAAAAAATCCAGAGAAGAGCTTTAGCTATTTCTTCAAATGTTTTCTGGAGAAATAGGGCATTAATCTTATTTTATTTTGCATTTTTGCTACCATTATGTTTGCTGCCATTTTTGGTAAGAATTTGGACTGCGTGAAAGTAGCCTGAGTGTGTGTGGTTTATCTAATCCTGCCTGGGGTGATTAGTGATTGATTCTTTTCATTAGGAAAAAAATGTTTCTGCTTCATCTTCGCAACCAGGTTCTCAAAGTTTTGTTCAGGGGTGAATATCAGTACCTCATTGTCTGAAATTGCTTGGGAGGCCAACCGTTCTCTTCTTTGAGGATGAATTCTCCCAGAGACGAAAGCATTCTCTTTGTTCTTTCTCTATGCTGTGTGACTGAGAAACTGGGTTTTAATCATGTGTAGAATGTGAGCTTCTTTGAATTAATAGTTACCCCTGGAATAATCGCCTTATAGGGTTGTAGTAATAGCCAAGCAAATTAGTGTATAAAGGAAAAGGTATTTTTTCAAAAACAGTGCTCAGATCAGTAATCCCACTTCTGGGTTTTCACCCAAAAGATTTGAAATTAGTTTGTTGAAAAAGTACCTGTACCCCTGTCTGTATTGCAGCTCTATACACAGTAGCCAAGTTACGGATTCAACCTAAGTGTCTATCAACAGATGAATAGATAAAGAAAATGTATATATACACGCCATGGAATACTTTTTAGCCTTAAAAAGGAAAGAAACTTTGTCATTTGCAACAACATATATAGAATTGGAGAACAATATGCTAAGTGAAATAGGCCAAACACAGACAAATACCACATGAGCTCACTTAATGTGGAATCTAGAACAGTTGAACTCCAGAGACAGCAGAATGGTGGTGACTAGAGGCTGGAATTGGGGGACAAATTCGGAGAGGATGGTCAAAGGGTATAAGAGCTCAATTACATAGGAGGCATGAAGTGTTTTTCTTTGAGATACATTGCACAGTGTGGTGAATATAGTAAATAATAACATGCATTTCAGAATTACTAAGATAGTAAATTTCACATATTGTCACCACAAAAAGATAAGTATTTGAGGTGATGGATATGACAGTTAGCTTGATTTAATATTTCATGTTTATGATTCATAAAGTGTAACATCATAAATCTGTACAACATAGAAATGTAGATTAACTGGACACTTTTGTTTTTAAATCTCAGATATTTTACTGAGAAATAAGCATTACTAATTTTCCATTTTGTGCAGGTGCACAGATTAGTGTTTTCTTTAGCAATAACCCTTACTTTATTTTTTTCGAGCACTTTGGAACCGCATGAAGGTTGGTTGTCAAGGCTAATGTCAAGGATGTGCAGATGGTGTGGTGGATGTTTATAATGTGATGATTAAGGTTTCCCTTCACTGTCTTTCATTTTACTTCCCCACGTCTTACATTCTCAACTTTAAAACCAATGTGGTGAATTGAATTTCTTGGCTTATGTGGGCTTTATTTAGCTTACCGTTTCCCTGTTCGTACATTAGGAATGGTACTTGGTATTTCTGTTGGTTAAAATTCAAGATGGTAGTATTTTTATGGCCTGTGTATTAGCCTGGCCTGCCATAACAAGATACCGTAGACCAAGTGGCTTAAACCACGGAAATTTAATTTTCTCTCAAGTTTCTAGTCTAGAAGTCTGAGACCAGGGAGCCAGACCTGGGTTCTGGGAGGGCTCTCTTCCTGACGTACAGACGGCCGCCTTCTTGCTGTGTCTGGTGTTCTTCCTCTTATTAGGGCTGTTCCCATCATGAGCCCAAAGGCCCCATCTGCAAATACCCTTGCATTGGGCGTTAGGGTTTGACATAGGAATTTGAAGGGGGGTGGCACAATTCCACACACAGCGGCCAAGGACTGTGAATGAAAATGTGTCATTACATGGAGTCCCAGGGCCCCCCACTGTGGAGACGTAAGAGATGGGGAGAGAACTGCTCGAGGTGGTGTCTCAGTTTTTTTTTGAGACAGAGTCTGACTCTGTTGCCCAGGCTAGAGTGCCATGGCGTCAGCCTCGCTCACAGCAACCTCCAACTCCTGGGCTCAAGCGATCCTCCTGCCTCAGCCTCCCGAGTAGCTGGGACTACAGGCATGCGCCACCATGCCCGGCTCATTTTTTCCATATATTTTTAGTTGGCCAATTAATTTCTTTCTATTTTTTAGTGCAGACGGGGGTCTCGCTCTTGCTCAGGCTGGTTTCGAACTCCTGATCTTGTGGGATCCTCCCGCCTCGGCCTCCCAGAGTGCTAGGATTACAGGCATGAGCCACTGTGCCCGGCCATTCATTCTAATACTAGTTTCTCAACATATTATAGTGTTATTTGCACAATCAATAACCCCAAACACGTGGTAACCGAGGCAGTTTGATTAACCCCGCTTTTTCTCTCTAAGGATTGAGGCCAGACGCAAGTGCCTTCTTCATCATGATGTTTACCCTTATGATGGTGGCCTATTCGGCCAGCTCCATGGCGCTGGCCATAGCAGCAGGTCAGAGTGTGGTTTCCATAGCGACACTTCTCATGACCATCTCTTTCGTGTTCATGATGGTGAGTATGGACTGTGCCACTCTGAGAAGCCGTGCTCCCCCCTTTGTTTCCTCGTTCACATTCACCTGTTGTAAAATCTGCTTTGAGGATTCTGCAAACAGGACGCTTTGCTTTAAGGATGCCATATATTGAAATACAGCTTATATTAGAGAATGTACCAGCTTTCCTCGTTGTCCTTATTAGCATGTCGTTACTAAAGTGTTTTTATTTTTATTTATTTTGTTTTGAGACAGAGTCTTGCTTTGTTGCCCAGGCTAGAGTGAGTGCCATGGCCTCAGCCTCGCTCACAGCAACCTCCAACTCCTGAGCTCAGGCGATCCTCCTGCCTCAGCCTCCCGAGTAGCTGGGACTACAGGCATGCGCCACCATGCCCAGCTAATTTTTGCTATATATATTAGTTGGCCAATTAATTTCTTTCTATTTATAGTAGAGACGGGGGTCTTGCTCTTCCTCAGAGTGGTTTCGAACTCCTGACCTTGAGCAATCCACCCGCCTCAGCCTCCCAGAGTGCTAGCATTACAGGCGTGAGCCACCGCGCCCAGCCTAATTTTTTTTTTTTTAGAGATGAGGTCTTGCTATGTTGCCCAGGCTGGTCTCAAACTCCTGAGCTCAAGCAATCCTCCTGCCTCAGCTGCCCAAGTGGCTGGGACCACAGGGACAGGCCATTTCTTTCTTTCTTTCTTTTTTTTTTTATTTTGAGACAATCTTGCTCTCTGGTCTGGGTTAGAGTGCCGTGGCGTCAGCCTAGCTCACAGCAACCTCCAACTCCTGGGCTCAAGCGATCCTCCTGCCTCAGCCTCCCGAGTAGCTGAGATTACAGGCATGCGCTACCATGCCCGGCTCATTTTTTCTGTATACATTTTTAATCGGCCAATTAAATGGAATATGTATTATAGATATATTGTCCTTCCTTTGAAACCATAAACAGCTTTAGCCATATAAAGATCTACACATGCAAAGAGAAAGATTAAGTGTTTAGAGTAAGTGGAATGCATTTCAAGAAAGAGTTGGTCTTAGCAGAAATGTTTAGAAGGGTGGAAAGGAATTCTGTATGAAATTACTTGACGGATTCTGACTCCTGGTATTTGCTTTTTGCAGATTTTTTCAGGCCTGCTGGTAAATCTCACAACCATTGCCTCTTGGCTGTCCTGGCTCCAGTATTTCAGCATTCCTCGATACGGCTTCACGGTACTTTTTCTTGGTATCTCATGGGGACTGGGTCCCCAATCTAGAGACAATCAAAATAAAAAGCCCACTCATCTCATTTCTCCAGCCAGGAGCTGTGAGAGTCTCCCATGTAGGCATTTCTTTGTAGGAGCAAAGAATGAGAATTTCCTGTTAGCTTTGGGTAGCACAAGGCCAGGAAGTCCTTTGGGGTTTTCCCCAATCAGTTGTCCTTTGAGGGGAGTGTGGGAAACACCGCATAGTAAAGGAGAAAGATTGGCCAATGGACAAGAAGCGTATTGTTGCGTCTCAGCTCAATAAGAAAATAAATGAAAGCATGGCAGATGAGGCTAGAATACACAAAGACCATTATAATACTCATAGCCATATTGGATTTTGTAAGTTCATCAACTCCAAAGAAAACTGTCTGATGTCTTAATACATCACAACCAAGTTTCCAGCTCCCAGGAATTACAACTTGGCTTGATGGAAACAAACAAAAACATAAGATTGTTCCCGCAAATTAACAGTGCTTATGAGCTATAATAGCCAGAGGGTCTCCCTTTTGGCCAAATACTTCCCTTCTTTTGTATTGGAAGCCAAAAATCCCAGCCTTAGGCCCCCTGATTGCCAAGGAAAATAACTTTCATAGCTTTGGTATCACAAAGACTGTGAATGTGAAACTCGGTATGTTTTTAGAAATAATAATAATAACAAAGATTAAACTTTAAGGACATGATTGTGATCATTCTCAAGAAACTTTGTGAAATTAAAAACTGTTTACCTTGCTGGGCTGCCACTTGGATTGTAGGCTTTGCAGCATAATGAATTTTTGGGACTGAACTTCTGCCCGGGACTCAATACAACGTTAAACGACACCTGTAGCTTCGCGACGTAAGTGTGGGTTCGTTGTCCTGATGGGTTTGCTTGCTACCGTGGCGTGATGTAGAAGGGACACAGGGCTTGGAGCTGACAAGAGTTCTTCCAGGATCACTGAATATTTCTGAGCCTCTGTTTTCTCATCCATAAAGTGAATCACTGTGCACTAATGCATGTAAACACGCCGTGCAACACCTCTGTAATCTGTTATAGTCAAAATCATATTTAGGCCGGGCACAGAGGCTCACACCTGTAATCCTAGTACTCTGGGAGGCCGAGGTGGGAGGATCACCCAAGGTCAGGGGTTCGAAACCAGCCTGAGCAAGAGCGAGACCCCATCTCTACTAAAAAAATAATAGAAAGAAATGAATTGACCAACTAAAAATATATAGAAAAAATGAACCGGGCATGGTGGCTTGTGCCTGTAGTCCCAGCTACTCGGGAGGCTGAGGCAGGAGGATCGCTTGAGCCCAGGAGTTGGAGGTTGCTGTGAGCTAGGCTGACACCACGGCACTCACTCTAGCCTGGGCAACAGAGTGAGACTCTGTCAAAAAAAATAAATAAATTGTATTTAATGTGGAAAAATGTTTCTTATGTGTTGCTTGTTTGTTTGAGGCCTTTTTATTTTTTATTTTTTTTGATGTTAAACAACAAGTATTTATTTGTCACTCACATCTACAAGTTTAGGCTGGGTTTACCTCTAAGCTTCAGGTTGGATCCAGGCCTGCTTGATTTAGTCTTCATCCTCTTTGGATCAAGAGCCTCTCTTCTGGGTCTTTTACAGGGTGCTTTTGATGTTTTGATTGTGGGTTTGAGTTATTACTTTTCAAAACATTTGAGTTTGGCCGGGCGCGGTGGCTCACGCCTGTCATCCTAGCACTCTGGGAGGCCGAGGCGGGAGGATCGCTCAAGGTCAGAAGTTCAAAAGCAGCCTAAGCAAGACCCCGTCTCTACTAAAATAGAAAGAAATTATTTGACCAACTAAAAATATATATACAAAAAAATTAGCCGGGCATGGTGGCGCATGCCTGTAGTCCCAGCTACTCGGGAGGCTGAGGCAAGAGGATCGCTTGAGCCCAAGAGACTGAGGTTACTGTGAGTGAGGCTGACGACACAGCACTCACTCTAGCCCGGGTGACAGAGTGAGACTCTGTCTCAAAAAAAAAAAAAAAATTTGAGTTTGAAATGAGATGCTTTGATATTTTAGCCAGAGCTTACAGTCTTGAAGGTTACGGATTATATGCAACATATGCAGCCAGGGACTCACGAATACTATAAGCCCAACCCAGTAGTGAGACCTAAAAGGTGTTAGCAGCACAGAAAGTGTATGTCCCCTGCCAAGATCCTAGCACTTTGCCTCTTGCATTTGGGAGATGCCGTGAAAGCAAAGGCTGCACAGTTCTGTTTTTATATTGAAATATGTATTTTTTTTAAGAGGACACATTGTTAGATAGGGAGGATAGGAAGGATTCCAAAAGTTGAGAAGGAAATCCCATTTTTGCATACTATTAAAATAGACATTCAGGTTTTAACAAAATTAGAGGATATTGTTCTAAAAATTTAATGACACTTTCCTTTTCTATGATTGTTGTTAATGGTTCCATTTTGATACATACATTAGTGAGACAAAAGAGAATGTTGTTGGTATCCTAAATCTTTCCTAAATGCTCACATAGAATAGAAATAATTCTTTTATTTTTTTTAACCTTTTTTTTTTTTATTTTAGCATATTATGGGGATACAAGTGTTAAGGTTATATATATTGCCCATGCCCTCCTCCCTCCTAGAATAGAAGTAATTCTTTTTTTTAATTTTTTTTTTTTTTTTTGAGACAGAGTCTCACTCTGTTGCCTGGCCTAGAGTGAGTGCTTTGGCATTTTATAGTAGTAGTAGCTACTATAAACTCAGTGCCTGGTGTCAATTGGACTCTCAACAAGTTGTGTTGAATGAATGAATTATGAATATATCCAGTCTTCCATAGAACTCTTGTGGAATAGTTATATGGACAATGTCAGGGTCCTTCAATAAATCAAGAAGAACTAAAGGGCCTTTTTTTTTTTTTTTGAGACAGAGTCTCATTTTGTTGCCCAGGCTAGAGTGAGTGCCGTGGCGTCAGCCTCGCTCACAGCAACCTCCAACTCCTGGGCTCAAGCGATCCTCCTGTCTCAGCCTCCCGAGTAGCTGGGACTACAGGCATGTGCCACCATGCCCAGCTAATTTTTTTCTATATATTTTTAGTCGGCCAATTAATTTCTTTCTATTTTTAGTAGAGACAGGATCTCACTCTTGTTTAGGTTGATTTCAAACTCCTGACCTTGAGCAATCCGCCCGCCTCGGCCTCCCAGAATGCTAGGAAGAAGTAATTCTTAATAATAAGACAAATTGCTATTTGGAATGACTGATAGGAAATCCTCTATGAAGAAAGGTTTTCTTCGTCATACCCATTTCCTTTTGCTTTGATCTGGGTGTCAGGTCATGTAAAACACAAAGTTAGTGCCAGCTAGCGGGTCAAGATGAAGCGGACAGGAAAACTGGGACGAGATAAGGAGCAGTCCCCCCCTCAGCTTCCTGGAAACATGAGATGAGGCTTCCTCCTTCTAAGATGAAGAAGGAAGCTACTCTTATAGTCAAAGAGGCTGCCGTTGCTTTCGGAACTGCTGAATTCCAAGAGCTGCACAGAAATGGTAGCAGGCAATGATCGTGGCTGTCCCAGATATTTCTAGCACCCGGTGCTTTCCTAGCACCTGTGGCAAGGCCCCTCCATCTGCTCTACTCAGGCTCAGATCTGGTAACGGGGCCCACTGATAATGTCCTGTAGCTGAGTGTCTGCCGTCATCGTTACAGTCCCCGCACAAGGACTGACAGTGACACTCCGGCGGCAGGAAGCCCTTGTTCCCTTCCTTCCCCAGTTTTCAAATTCTTAGCCTGTGCTCTTTTGCATGGCTGTATTTTTTTTTTTTTATGGGCGAGCAGTACTACAGAGAGCTTTGATCATCTTAGTGAGGGTCAGGGGTGGCATCAGTTCAACCTGAGCTTTTCTCCATCGGGAATAACTACAAAATTACTTGATAAATTTTTCTGCCCTACTGTTTCTGGATACTCTCAAAGAAAAAACAAACAAAAAAAAAGGCAAAAAAATATTTTTTGTTCTGCCCTTCGAAGGAGGGCAGCATTATAGATTTGGAAATAAATGAATTGGGAGAGGCTAAAACTTAGCTCAAAGTGTGACTCTGTGAACTTGGCCAAGTTCCTTAAACCTTAGTCCCCTTCATTTTTTTTTTGAGATGGAGTCTCACTCTGATGCCTGGGCTAGAGTGCCGTGGCGTCAGCCTCGGTCACAGCAACTTCCAACTTCTGGGCTCAAGCGATCCTCCTGCCTCAGCCTCCCGAGTAGCTGGGACTACAGGCATGCGCCATCATGCCTGGCTAATTTTTTTATGTCTGGCTAATTTTTTTCTATTTTTTTTTTTTTTTAGTAGGGATGGGGTCTTGCTCTTGTTCAGGCTGGTCTCGAACTGCTGAGCTCAAATGATCTTCCCATCTCGGCCTCCCGGAGTGCTAGGATTACAGGCCTGAGCCACCAGGCCAGGCCCCCTTCATCTTTTAAATGTGCATAATATCTACCCCATTGGGTTGTTTTTTTTGTTTTGTTTTGTTTTTTTGAGACAGAGTCTCACTCTGTTGCCCAGGCTAGAGTGAGTGCCATGGCATCACCCTAGCTCACAGCAACCTCAATCTCCTGGTTCAAGCGATCCTCCTGCCTCAGCCTCCCGAGTAGCTGGGACTACAGGCATGTGCCACCATGCCCAACTAATTTTTTGTATATATATTTTTAGTTGGCCAATTAATTTCTTTCTATTTTTAGTAGAGACGGAGTCTGGCTTTTGCTCAGGCTGGTCTCGAACTCCTGACCTTGAGCAATCCTCCCACCTCGGCCTCCCAGAGTACAGGATTACAGGCGTGAGCCACCTTGCCCGGCCCCCTTCATCTTTTTTTTTTTTTTAAGGCCAAAAACCAATTGAACTTAGCAGAACCCCTTCATCTTTTAAATGCATAATAACTACCCCATTGGGTTGTTTTAGTGATTAACTAATCAATTAAGTGCAGGATGCTTGCATAATATCTGGGGAAATGTTGAGCACGCAGTGACTGTTAGCTATTGTCTATGACAGGATAATTATGGAAGACTTGGTTCCCGTATAGGCTGCTTTAGCTAAGGAACAGTGGCTTTACTGAGTGGAATTTGAGAGATGGTAAAAATGAAATTTCTTCTTTTTCCATTGAATTTTAGGTGCACCGGAGAAGAGTATTTGTCCAGTCAGGGCATTGATCTCTCACCTTGGGGCTTGTGGAAGAACCACGTGGCCTTGGCTTGCATGATTGTTATCTTCCTCACCATTGCCTACCTAAAATTGTTATTTCTTAAAAAATATTCGTAAATTCCCCTTTTATGTGCTAGGATTTATCCTCACCTGAGAAAGGAGCACCTTGATTTATCTTGCATATTCAATCAAGTTTTCTTCTGGTCTTCTGTTCAGTTGCCATTGTATTGCTGTTCAGCAACGATTACCTTCAACAGAAACACTCATAGAAATCACAGTGGACTGAATTATACATGAAAAAGCCCAAGTCATCAAGCTGGCAGGCAGGAATATGGAGCTTTTTTTTCTATAATTGTAATATAAAAAGTTTTTAAAAAGTAAAAAAAAAAAAAAAAAAAAGAAAAAGAAAAATTCCAAGTCAAAAACGAATGATACGCCTGTAATCCTAGCACTCTGGGAGGCTGAGGCGGGCAGATCGCTCAAGGTCAGGAGTTCGAAACCAGCCTGAGCAACAGCAAGACCTCGTGTCTACCATAAATAGAAAGAAATTAGCCAAAAAAACTAAAAAAAAATAGAAAAAAAAAACAAAAAAACGAATGATACTATGTGTGGCATATTCAGTAACCATGGGGAAGAAATCTAGTCTAATTTATTGACCTGAAACAGAGTAGAGCTGAATACTAGATACTTCTGACAAGTTACTAATATCTCTGCTATCAGTTTCCTTGTCTTTAAAATGAACAGGTAGAGCAGGTCAAAACTCCCGTGCTGATCAGTAGTGGGATCGCGCCTGTGAATAGCCACTGCACTCCAGCCTGGGCAACATAGCGAGACCCCGTCTCTAAAAAGAAAAAAATAAAAAAAAAAAAACAAAAACAAACAAAAAAAATAAAATGAACAGGTAGGTTAACAGCCCTCCCGTTTTAATATTATGTGAATCTACGACCTGCTATTATTTAATAAATAACAAATGTATTATTAATGTTGTCTTGGAAGTGTGAAAATCTAAAATATGTTGGAAAAACCAGTCTAATTCATAGGGTAAATAAGCCATTGTGATAGAAAAAAAGTCTTTGATAAGCTTATTAAGGTTAATAGAACTTACCAGTATTTCTCTCTAGTGGTATTATGATATTTTGGGAATCTTGGCTGGGCGTTTTGGATTTATTAGATGGAATAGAAAGCCAGGAGTCTGGTGATACAGCTCTTGTGCCATTTCGGGGACATTCTAACTCTGGAAAGTCACTTAATCTTTTGGGGATGGTTCCTTGGTTTATAACCTGTAATCTGAGTTATGCATCAAAATCATCTAAGGAAACTTGCTATAAAAATACAGATGTCTGGGCTTTTCCTCGCCCCACTGCGTAATCGATAAAGAGCTCTGATCACTTCTGGATTTGGTCATTTTAAAGATTCTTTCCACCTCCCAAAATTTTACAGATGACTTAATAACTGTCACATCTGTCCCTTTACAGGCTTTTTTGCTCCCTACTCATACACCTTATTTATTTCCATATCGTCTCCTCATTTCTAACCTTTACCAGGAATAGGGAAATGTTTTACAAAATTTTTTATTGAAGGGCACTGTACCAAAAAGCGCAGTTGAGTGAATTACCGCAAAATAAACACTCATGTGCAACCATCAAGCCAGGTCGAAAAACAGAACATGACAGCACCCGGAAGCCCCCTCCTGGCTCCTTGCAGCCGTCAGTTCCTCCCTGTCCTCCCTGGGTTGTTTTAGAAATGACACTTGGGTTTCCCCTCTGCTCTTCTCAGAACCTTACAAAAGCCCAGTTTTGTATTCTTGTGTGCATAGGCACATACAAGAGAGTCTCCCCCAACTTTTTAAATTTTAAAATAATTTTTTTTTGGATTTTTTTTCTTTTATTGAGAGGTTGAAGATATTGGTCATTCACTCATTGCATCACATATATGACCTCAAGACAAGCAGAAAGGTTCAGAATGCACAAAATCTTGGTTGCCCATAAAAATAATTGACTAAATAGTTTTAGATTTACAGGAAAGTTGCAAAATTTCCCTTAATGTTAACATTTTATGTACCAGGGTCAAAGCTAAGAAAGCAATGTCGGTTCATTACTGTCAATTAAACAAACTGCCTGCTCAACTCGGATTTCACCAATTTTCTGCTAATATTCTTTTATTGTTCCAGGATTCAGTTCAGGAGATCACATTGCATCTAGTTTCCTTTTTTTTTTAAAGTAAATACTTTTCAATATTCTTATAGGAATTATGTGGGCTGGGCAGTGTAGACTCCCGTGTCTGGTCATCTCAGAATTCATTTAGCTCATCAGTGGGTGCCCTGTCATATTGTTGTGATGTCAGTATGGTGTCAGCATGTTTTAATCTTTGAACTTTAAAGAACAGTGTTTTTGGCCGGGCGCGGTGGCTCACGCCTGTCATCCTAGCACTCTGGGAGGCCGAGGCGGGAGGATCGCTTGAGCTCAGGAGTTTGAAACCAGCCTGAGCAAGAGCGAGACCCCGTCTCTACTATAAATAGAAAGAAATTAATTGGCCAACTAATATATATAGAAAAAAAAATTAGCCGGGCATGGTGGCGCATGCCTGTAGTCCCAAGCTACTCGGGAGGCCGAGGCAGGAGGATTGCTTGAGCCCAGGAGTTTGAGACCAGCCTGAGCAAGAGCGAGACCCGGTCTCTACTAAAGATAGAAATTGGCTGGACAACTAAAAATATACAGGAAAAATTAGCCGGGCATGGTGGCGCATGCCTGTAGTCCCAGCTACTCGGGAGGCTGAGGCAGGAGGATCAATTAAGCTCAGGAGTTTGAGGTTACAGTTAGCTACGATGACACTACTGCACTTACTCAGGGCGACAGAGCAAGACTCTGTCTCAAAAAAAAAACCAAAAAAGGAACAGTGTTTAACATTTGATTAATGCATCATCCTGTTAACACATTTTTTTTTTTTTGCTGGTTATTATGTGACCATCAAAGTTAATAATCAATTTTTATTGTTTTTTAGTTACAACTTCTACTTTTTTCATAACCGTGCCTTTACTCACAGTTCTCTGTATATACTTTTCCTCATTATGCAGAGAGAACTATATCTATGCCTTATACACAAAATAATATACTTTACAAAAGAAACAAAACAGCCAAGATTTTTAACGTCTGCTTTTGAAATTAACGAGAACTTAAATATACCCTATCATATTTATCCTCTTTTTGGATTAAAATTGCCCTATTATGTACTTTTTTAATGTTGTGGCAAGAAACGCATGACATAAAATTTACCATCTTAACCATGTAAAACTTAAGGAACATTTTTTTAAAAGTGTAGTTTTTCCTGTAAAGTACAAAAGAAAAAGTTTGTAGAAATTTACTTAAGAATATGTATTTTTTTAAAGTTTTGTTTATTTTCTTGGATGTCAGAACTAATCTTTAATGGATGGGGCAAATTGGTTTAAAATAAAATAAAACTTAAGAATTAAATGAATGTTGGTTGTTATTTATACTCATACTATAAATATATACTATTTATTTTGTTTTGTGGTTCTTTGTGGCAGAACTATATAGTGTTTTATGATACCACTTGCTGTTCTGTGTCTAAAGAATTTTGGAGAAGTAGGATTATAGAAGATAATTGGCTCTGGGAGGCCCAGGTGGGTGGATTGGTCAAGGTCAGGAATCGAAACCAGCCTGAGCGAGACCCCCGTGTCTACTAAAAATAGAAAGAAATTAATTGACCATCTAAAAATATATATAGAAAAAATTAGCTTGGCATGGTGGCATATGCCTGTAGTCCCAGCTACTCGGGAGCGGAGCAGTAGGATCGCTGAGCCAGGAGTGGAGGTTGCGGTGAGCTAGGCTGACGCCACGGCACTCATCTAGCTGGCAACAAAGTGGGACTCTGTCTCAAAAAAAAAAAAAAAATTAATTGGTTTGAGAGCACCTCTAAAAAAATCATTGCAATATTTAGCAAACTTTCTGAATAGTATCCACGATAAAAAAAAATTCATATCATAACCCATTTCTTTGTGCATGCACATGAATAATGCAAACAAGTTTCTCGTGGTACATTCTGAAAGATATTTTTGAAATAGAGTTAGAATAAAACTATTTTATAGGTCCATCAGTAAACATGTCATCACCAAATATGCATTTTTAAGGTTATAGGTCTGCCTCCTTATTTTTAGTGACCTGATTTGATGAATGATGGGATATGCTGGTAATAATTGCTGTATCTATTTCACACGTAAATTGTAAGGACGAGGCTGCTCTCTTGGGGCAGTGATCCACACCTTCGATCCTGAGGGCTCAGAGCCCCAGGTTATCTCGTCCTTATCAGGCTGTGGGGCATGGGGACACTGAGTCACTTCTGTGCATTCCCTGCCCAGTTATGTAGCCGAGATGCTGCCTCCACAAATGACAGGAATCAATATTTAATCCTCTTTTGCCTGATGTCCCACCAGAGTGGAAAGCCCACTGCAACTACCGTGTTTCCCCCCAAATAAAACAGGGTCTTATATTTTTCTCCAGAAGACACCCTACGGCTTATTTTCAGGGGATGTGTTTTTTTTTTTTTTTTTTTTTTTTAAGGTGTTACTTCTGATGGAATATTTTTTTTTAACTACGGTACAACCATCTACATTGATTCAAACATAGTGAAGTCATCTTCTTCTGGAACATCATCCTCACTCTCCAGACCCCGAATCCCATCCTGAATGTCTCGCGACTCTGTTTCCTTTAGAGCCACCGGCCCCATCTCTCATGTCGAGCACTAGAGGTCTCACGGGGCGGATGAGAAGGGCTGCTCGTGTTCTTTCCCGCTCCACGACGACACGCATGGGTTGTGCAGATGCGCTGCGCAGCCACGCCCCGTCACCAGGGCTGATTTTCATAGCCACGCCCACCACTAGGACTGATTTTCATAGCCACGCCCATCACCAGGGCTGATTTTCATAGCCACGCCCATCACTAGGGCTGATTTTCATAGCCACGCCCATCACTAGGGCTGGTTTTCATAGCCACGCCCATCACTAGGGCTGATTTTCATAGCCACGCCCATCACTAGGGCTGGTTTTCATAGCCACGCCCATCACTAGGGCTGGTTTTTCATAGCCCCACCCATCACCAGAGCTGATTTTCATAGCCAAGCTCATCACCAGGGCTTATTTTCATAGCCACGCCCACCACTAGGACTGATTTTCATAGCCACGCCCATCACCAGGGCTGATTTTCATAGCCACGCCCACCACCAGGGCTGATTTTCATACCCACGCCCATCGCCAGGGCTGATTTTCGGGGTAGGGCTTCTATTGCGCACATGCTTAGACATCCTGTAGGGCTTATTTGATGGGGAGGTCTTATTTTGGGAGAAACACGGCAAGTGGCCAGGTGTCAGATTCAGTGGAGCCGTCA